TTAAAAGTTTCTCTTTACTTCCAAATATTCGACTTTCCACTGCAATCCTGATTTACCTTTTATTCATTTTAATCCAATAGAATCTAATAAAGGAATTTTTAGAATAAAATTTTTCGAAAACTTCGTTAAATTTTCTAAGCCTATAGCCTTAGATTTCTCTCAAAAAGGGCCCCTCAAAAGTTTTTCCTTTCCTTCAAATATTCGACTTATCACTGCATTCCTGATTTACCTCTTTTTTCTTTTTGTCCTATAGAAGCTTATAGACTTATTTTTAGAAAAAAGTTTCGAAAAAAATGCGACCATTTTCCATGCGACCTTTCTAATGTTTCTCTTTACCTCCAAATGTTCGATTTTCCCCCGAAATCTTTGATTTATTTTTTGTTCTTTTTCATCCCACAGAAGCTAATAAACATGTTTTTGAAGAAAAATTTTCCATAGAATTCGACAATTTTCCTAAGCCTTTTGGCTTTTATTTCTATTAAAAAGGGACCCTCTAAAATTTCTTTTTACTTTCAAATGTTCGATTTTTTCCGAAATCTTGATTTCATTTTTGATCGTTCTACGTCTAAAGAAGCTTATGAACGTCTTTTTAGAAACTAATTAATATTAGATAAGGGAGTTTTTTCATAAAAATAGATTGAATTGTTGTTCTTTCTAATCACCCGTAAGCCAATAAACGTGTTTCTAGAAGATAAAATATTTGGCTATTTTTAAAAGCCCATTGCCTTTTATTTCTATCAAAAAGTGACTGCTCTGAATGTTACTTTATATTCAAAAAATCTTGATTTAATTCTTAAACATTCTAATTAAACAGAAGTCAATAAAAGAGTTTTTAGAAGAAAAAAAATTTGCAAAAAATGTGAAAATTTTTTTAAGCCTATAGCATTACATTTCCACTACTGATGACCATATAAATTTTCTCTTTATCTTCAAAATTTCGACTTTTTCCCGAAAACTTGATTTCATTCTTGCTCTTTCCAATCTCATAGAAGGAAATAAATGGCAGAAAAAGAATTGCAAAACAATTCAACAATTTTCTAAAGCCTTTAGCCTGAAATTTCTATCTAAAATGGCCATTTATTGCATCATATCACTTAGTGAAGTTAATTTTACTAAGTTTGAATTCGTCCATCAATCTTGCTTCCGGGAATGAAGACAAATTTCCTACTCGAAAGGGATGCTTGAATCCACAAAATGAAGTGTTTCAAAGGCAATCTATCACGACGTTGATTTATTTTAAGAACAAAGGAATTTTTTATTGTTTCCGGCCCCCCTTTAATTTATCGCATTGTAAAAAATATAGCGGAGCGCGGGAATTGTGTTTAGGCTATTGTTCCAGCTATTGTTCTCGTAAACCAATCCACAACGAGACAGATTGCCTTTAAGAAGTAAAGGTGCAAAGTGACCCCATAACATTTGATGAATATGGCAAACGAGACAATTTGCTCAAAGTCAAAATTGCTCTCCATTTTATGAGAAAAATATGAAATATTAATTTGACTTCAAAAGAAAGAGATGGTAAAACACATGGACGAGGACAGTAAAAACCTGATTTTGTCTTTGTTTCTGGATTGAAAGATATGACCTGCCTACACTAAGAAGAAAGTATTCGAGAAGATTTATTGATGCAACTAACATAATAAAAGATTTGATACAAAAAGAGATATTTGATCAAATAAAAGGTGCAAAGCTGTTCTCGATCGAGATGGATACAACCCAAGACGTATCTTGCAAAGATCAATGCTCTATTGTTGTCCGGTATGCATACCAGGGTCTTATTTTCGAGAGGTTGCTGATTCTTGTTCAAGCAACGCCACACAATAGCACAACAGCACAAACCTAAAACGCTTCAACATTGGTATTAAAGATTGCATTGGAGACAGTTTCAATGGAGCAGCCAATATGTCAGGCCAATACAATGGCGTACGGGCAAAAACCAAACTAGTTGCAGACATGCATATTCATGTGTGGTGCTATGCACATACCTTGAATCTTGTCCTGGGAGACACTAAATCTGCTACCACTCCTGCGTTGAGTTTATTCGCCCTTTTAAATTCAGTTGCTACCTTCTTCAGAGAGACACACAAGCGAATGCATCAGTGGAATGACATCTTGCAGCTAAAGTTGGAGCACAAAAACTGAAGAAGTTAAACACGATTGGTAAGAAACGCTGGTGGGCAAAAGCTGGGGCCATTCAGAGGGTCTTTGGAGATTTCGATTTCATTCACACCGAACAAAACACCTTGTATATTGAATTGTTGATTATTTTATCTGGTATAGCTCATAATAACAAGTTTAACACATCTGCTAGGGATGATGCAATAACATTACTAGGAAAACTCTTGACATTTGGGACGATTTTAACAGCCACTGTTTTTCATGCAATTTTCGCTATCACCACACCATTGTCAGAGTATTTTCACACAAGAGGTCTTGACCTCTTGCAAGCTTAGAGAATGGTAGGCTCTGCAACAGAAAGATTTGAAAAAATTAGCAGAGACTTTGAGAACGTTTTAAAGATTGCCACAAACTTTTCAAAGAATGCAAACAGGAAGCTTGCGGAACTCCATGTCAACTTTGTTGTAGAGGAAAGGCTGTCTACATAAAGGATACGAAAACGAAAGTTACCTTTTGATGAGCGCACTGGTAATGCTGACGATTCTGTCTCTCGTGAACCAAATGAATCCTGAAGTCTTCGACGTAATTATGGATCAAGTATTGGAAAGCATAAAAAGTAGGTTTTTCAATCTTAGAGAGCTGTACCAAGACTTTTCATGTATAGACCCTTGCCGCTTTGAAGAATTTAAAAAAGAAGGCCTGCCTAAAGGGGCTGTGGAAAGCATTTGCAAAAGGATGGGATTGGATAGCATCGTTTTGAGGGAACAGCTCTTGGATTTCCACGAATCATTTCCAAGGCTAATGAAGACAGCTGGAGAGGATTATGGAGTCGATGACGAAAAAGGCTTTGCGAGTACTTCATCTGAGGACGAATCATTGAATGCTCTAGATTCAGATGATGATTTACGTCAAGCAGGTGGCGAGGGAAAGTCCCATTGTTGCTTTTCATGTGTTTTCAAGCTTCTATACCAGTTTAACATGCAACCCTCTGCATATTCAGAGCTTTATAAAGCTCATAGATACCTGGTAGCTTTGGCTGTGACAAAAGTGGAGTGTGAAAGAAGCTTTTCCACTTCAAAATATATAAAGAACAGATTACGTAGTAGTATTTCTCAGCCAAACCTGGAGTCCTTTATGTTAATGTTCTTAGAAAAATGCCTGTTAGATGACATCTAGAATGAACACGTTATCAACATATTTGCAAATTCATCAACAGAGCTCCAACGTCTCTTACTGCTGTGATTGCATATATGAAGTTACTGCATTTAGAGACAAAGTCAAACCAATGAGTTAAAATGTTTGTTTATTTACTGTTTAGTTAGCAAATGACGTTTCTACCATGTTCTGTTAACCATGTCCTGTCAACTATGTTCTGTTAAGCATGTTCTGTTAACCAGGTTCTGTTAACCAGGTTCTGTTAACCATATTCTGTTAACCAGGCTCTATTAACCACGTTCTGTTAACCACGTTCTGTTAACCATGTCCTGTTAACCATATTCTGTTAGCCATGTTCTTTTAAGCATGTTCTGTTAAGCATGTTCTGTTAACCATGTTGTGTTAACCACGTTCTGTTAACCATGTTCTGTTAACCATGTTCTGTTAACCATGCTCTGTTAACCATGCTCTGTTAAGCATTCATCCATGCACAATATTAGTAATTACTTAACTTAAAAACTTTTTTCCCTTACAGACTAACATTCACTAGCATTTTCCAAGGATTCTTTTATTTGCTATTATTATGGGCCGGTTTGATCAAAATGCGCCCGGCCGAAAAAATTAGCCAGTCCGCTCCTGAACAAGGGACTTTTTAGTCGGCTATACACTTTAAACGGCTCCTTCAGATAAGGTACTAGTAGTCAGACCACAGCTTTAAGCATCAATAAAAAAGTGTCTCTATATTGTCACTTGAACTCCATATACAATACATAGTATTAAGCAATTATTCTCAGTGCACAAAGCCACCATCCTGGTTTCGTGGCCGCCAAGTGTTTGAATTTAAACACGAGGATCATTGTTACGTCATTGGTATCATAAGCAATAAGACAGAAATTTTTTACTAGACTTAGAAAAAGAAATCTTGCCTTTTTCACATTAAACTTGATGCAGCTCGCATTTATCTGCAATTTAGTCAGAAAAGTTTAACTTTATTAATCATATTCTGACAGGCATCGAAACTATAAAGGTGAATTTCCCTCGTCCATTAAGAGAAAATTTGTTTAAATTCAGTGTTTCAACAATATTGAAGGTTTATGCTAAAAGGAAATAGGGGAAACTTCAAAGTCAACAAAAAGGGCATTAAGAGAATGTTCTTTAAAAAGGAGGTATTTTCAACATGGAGAAGGGTTGGCGGTGAATCTTCGGATACAAATTTTTCAAAATTGGCTGCAAACGATTTCAACAAAAAGTAACAGAAATCATGATGTTATTAAATGTTTTTAATGAGCAAATTTTCATCACGGTTAATTAGTGAAACTGGCTAGTGGTAAAAACTACGGAATGAAACCAGGATGGGGAACAAATGGTGGCTTTGAGCACGGAGTTATACAAGAAATACATCATTCTAAGTAAAGGCTTTAACGTGGCGGTGTACACAAACCACATGACACAGACTACATAATTCCAAACGAGCTATTGATAACTACTCATACGATACTAACGCTAAATTGAAAAAGAATTTAAACACGCTTACAAATCGAGAAGCGATCGTATCGCGTAAAAAGACGATGCAAGCGTGTATTGCATTTAAATGAAATCGTGCAATTTAAGACTAATCAGCCTCAAATTTTGCAAGTTATTTGTTAAAGTTTAAAGATATCATAAGGGCACAAATTTGAGGACGAAATTTTTTTGGCAGGGTTTTCAAGGCAGAGGATCAACAATAGTTTAAGTTAGACCGATTCTTTTTAAATATCTGCAGGCAAATCTCTGAGCTACGAATATGCTGTAGGTTTAGCTAATACTGACGAAGCTTGTCGTCATAGGCAATGAAAGCTTATCTAACATATAGGCAATTTCTATTTAAAATAAAAGGCTGCTGCTAATCTAGTGTTAAGAAAGGCAAGTGGAAAGGGTGAAACTTTGAACTAAATTTAAAGAATTCTATTCCTAATAACGAAAAATTTCTGTTTTACTTTAATAAATCCTTACAACCAATTATAAACAAACTAAAACATGGCGTGCATGATATGGTATAAAGGAGATATTTGCTTAAGAATCTACACCATCGTTTGGCCGAATGACTTTTTAATAATTCGCTGGATCGATTAGAACAGTCATATATTTTCTTGAGAATATAAATATGAGTACTATTTTGACATCGCTGTTTAATCATGGGAAAACAAATATGGGGAATCTATATCGTCCCATAACTTTCTATGATGAAAATTAATTAAAGCTAATTGTCACTTCAGCTTGAACTGTATAGCTTTTTCAATCAAATCATTAAGGATTGATTGAGTGATTTCGAGTTTGATTGGCCAAATGCCGATGGATGATTGCTTGGGATTCAAGATTCATATTTCTTCATGATTGCAGCTTAAGGATGTCATTTTTAAAAGGCCGGGATTTTACAAGTGTAATCTAGTAGCAGATATGGTTGAAACGAATAAAGGGAGGGCGGGTTTTAAAATGAAATATAACTCCAATCTTGGCTAGCTAATTGCCTTAAAATAGTTATAATTTACAGTGTTAAATCTCCATAAAAACATATTGATTAATTAAAAAAATAACAATAAATAAACTTTCACGGTTTACTTTCAACTTTCATAGACCCTGCTTGATAAAATGCCTATTTTTGAAATCATGTTGCCGATAGATACGTGCGTCAGTTTAGCACCCAATGAGGGTTTTTCCTGAAAATTTATGACGTCGTCGTTTGGTAAAATTAAAGCAATGTTGTGCAATCTTTCAATGAAATTTTTTCTTTGCTTTATGGAAATTAACTAGTTGGCACTAGTCCCTCATAGCAAAGAAAACTTTCACTAATTGGTAAAACTGAGCCACACGTATCTATCTACAAAAAATCTTAAAAGGGATACATTTATTTGTTTATATGATTTAATTAATTAAATTTGTGATTTTAATAAATACGAAAAGATTATGAACACATGATTGAGGGTAAAACTGTCATAACAGGTACAACAACTGACGAATCATTCTAGAACAAGGCAGTTCACAGCGAGCTCCATTCTAACCATCAAGATGCTCGTTAATGCTGATCCATTGATCTTGTTATAATCATCGATTATATATCAAGTTGCTCATATAGCATGAGAAGAAAAGGTGGATATCTCAATGGCTTATTTGCCTAAGAGACCTGTTGAGGAGACGCTAAAACTGCACTGCAAAAGACTGTCAGTGTGTCAATTTGATATATATATATTATAACATTATTACCCATTGAAACCATATATACAGGCGAGATGTTCCATCCTCGACTCATTGTTTATGCTATACTAAACATTCTAATATTGCTACCGTATACTAAACACTAGCTAGGTGCCGCAGTCATTTCCTCCACCTTAGTCCTATATCCATTTGTTTTCTCGCTTGGACTTTCATTCTTTGGTTTTATAAAACTGTCAGCAGTTGGGGAGCCAGCGTTTAACGTACTGTGGTCTTTATTATTTAAGTCGTATCCTCTCCAGCTATCCTGCACACGCAGGTGCAATCTACTTTCTCCAGAGTAAGGGGGAGCAATGGACGACGAATTGCGTTCTTCAACATGCATGATAGAACGTTCGTCAGGCTCCATATGACGACCAATTGATTGTGGACCGCTGGTAGGAGCATAAGATCTTTGAGGTGAAATATTAAATCTCTCATCACCTGAAAAAGGAGGTCTTTCATCAGGACCTCTAGGAACCCTGTCTTCGCTTACGTGGTTCGGTGAATGATGTCGAGGCGATGATTCACTAGGAGGTTTTAATATGTCCTCGGCAGAACGAGCTCTTTCCTGTGCAAAACGACCACGCTCGTCAAGAATATGAACAGTTCTTTCTTCTGCAATATGCTGACCTCTCTCTTCGGGTGGATAAATTGGTCTTCCGCTGGAACTTCGATGAAACATATCAGGAGGTCCAGGAGGTAAACTCTTGGTTGGACCGTTGTTAGCATCATCTGGTAATGGTCCTAGCCTCTCTGGCTCTCCTCGCCCTGGTATTGGCAAAGGACTATCCGCTGTTCGCATGTCATTTGATGAACACATTGAATACTTTTCATCGTTTCTTGAAACCGGCAGCGGCCTTTCATGCTTCATCATATCATCTCTAGTTTCAAACACACTAGAGGCACTTTCGGAGGCATCACTTTTGAACCGCTCCCGAGCCTGCACATGGGGAGGCAATTCACCATGCGAGATCATCGTGTGTCTGGGTTGTGATGCCCAGTACATCGAAGGCACATCACCAGATGGCCTTCCAAAGTATGGTCTCTCCATAAATCTATCGGTTCGCGGCTGAAACACCATAGAGCCAGGGTGATACCTTGGTGGATGCGGAAGCCTAGGTGGGGGAGACCCTCTGTCGTGCATTCCAGGGTCATACATATCCGAAGGCATTCTTGGGAACGGGGGCATCCCCGGTCCATGAGGGGGGAAGCCCATTGTAGGTGGCCCAACAGGATACTGATGTGAAGGTACTGTGCCCATGGTTGGTCTGGAGAATGCTTCGTTCGATTGATCTGAGCGTCTTTCTTCGTCATCTACCGACGGCATCCTATCTTTGCGCGCAGTACGACTGCCACGGTTGCCAGCACGACCAAGAACGCGCCCGCCGTTCTTTTCCGTCTCGTTGATTGCCATTGCGATTGCAACCTGCAGTAGATTTTGTCATAATTAGCAACCACAGACAGCGGTACATTTATGATTCAACTACGCCATTTTGCTTTGAAACGGGAGTGAGGCACAGTTATGGTTCAGCGTTTCTCCAGGGTCACGTGCTAAGATTTCAAAGTCTGTAGGTGTCTGCTAACCTAAGCATGGGTAAATGACCTAATCTCGGTAAAAAAAACCTACCATCAACGGTGGTCTTGCTTACGGAAGCCTATCGTCTACAGTCCAGGGCCTGTACCACACATTCATGACTAGGGGACCAGCATGTGAAACATTTTTCCTCGTATCTCCCTTAATTTTTATCCTTTCATTTGATGGCCCTTTCTCAAAACGATTAGGTTATGAAGGTTCACCTTTGTACCAAAACAAATCTCCGGGTTTATTAATTTGAAAATTCGGGCTAATTTAAATTTCGCGAGCACTGGAAGACATTTTAGCATAGACATCAGCTTAAAATTCAGCGAATTGCTAGCAACTTTTTGCTCCAATCTTATTCATTTAATCATTGAAGCATAAACATTTGATAATATTTTGATAGATTTTTATCAGTTATTCACTATATGAACTTTAGCTTTGAAGAAAAAGTTAAACAGATATTGTAATAAGGTATCAAAATTAAAATGGTAGTGAAGGGCAAAATGAGGTAGGATAGGGTACTCTGTTTCATTGTATTTAGACCTGCTGTAATTTTTTAGTTTATTTATAATTATTTAGACCTATTTAAATTATTTGTTTTGCATGTTAGGTACATAGACTGTTGACTAGCATTGTTGAATTGGCTACCGTGCTTAAATAAATTACGATGAATTTCCATATGAGATACAATGTTATGAATTCAATAAAAGGGACATACCTCCAAAGGTGGCAATACGGTGTCACTGCCAGTTGTTTTCCGTCTGCGTTTTCGAATAGGCTCTTCGATATTGACAAAATGTGTATCTTTAGCATGCTTCCTGAGGTTGTCAGCCCTGATGAACTGCGCTTTGCACAAATGACACTTAAAGGGTTTTTCTCCTGTATGTCTTGTGAGGTGACGTTGCAAGTCTATTTGCTGTGTAAATCCACGACCGCAAACATTACATCTAGAACAGAGCATTCAGTTCAGTTATTAGAAAAAGTAAACGATGAGTACATGGAATGGTAGCATAACAACAGATCGGAATTTCGACATTCAGGGAACAGACTTGGTTAATTGTGCGTCGCAGAGGGGTGAAAAGAATTTGTCACCGGTGTTTATTCAAATATCGAACACATTTAGCGACAGTATATAATTGACATATATGCTTCCTTAGGCCTAATGTTTATATTTACCCGACCAATGAGATTCTGAAGCTGCTTACAAATGCTACCTTTTAAGAATTTTAAGAAATTCTGAATACTTTGGCATTCAGCTAAAATTGTAACCTACTTGTATGGTTTAATTCCAGTATGAACAAGAACGTGTCGCTGAAGCTTGCTTTTGAATGGGAATATCTTAGCACAAAGCGGACATCGATAAACCTGCTTAGAATGGCGCCATGATGGATCATTTGGAGGCGATGTGTCCCCTTGAAAGGCTTCTGCTGGTCTCTCGAATGACGGGAGCTCGGCTGAATTTTTTCTTTTCGTTTGAATAAATGACGGTCGCATATCTGAAGAAAAATTAAATAATGTATAAGATGGGCTGAGACTTAAAAAGTAGTAGGAATTTCGGTATATGCCAAAAAATTTCAAGTCCAGTAGTGACAAATAAAGATATGATCAATGTAAAGTAAATTATAAAAGTGCGTAAGATATGATCCACATGTCAGACAGCTTTGCATGAAGTTTAAGAGTTAAAAGTACACTTTGAAACGGTAAAATATCTAAAATATCGAGATCATTAATATTAAAAGTAACTGATTATGTTGGGATGTTTTTTTGAAAGTTAGCGATAACTCTATTCTCTCATATAAGCACTTTGCTTCATCTGTCAACGTTGAGAGTAAGTTTTAAGTTGTTTGTTAGATACGTAACAACCAATGTCTATTGTATAGTCCAACCAATGGGAATTTAAATGGCCATCGAAATATGTCGGGACATTGTACTTTTAAAGCTTAAAATCTAATAACACTTAAAAAGGAAGATCACTGACCTTGTGGAGTTATGTTTTCGCTGCCTCTTAGTGCAGGGTCACTTGAACTCTGTTTAGCCCTGGGTGACGAAACATCACAATCCGCACCAGAGATTGAACGGATCGGAGACTCGGGTTCTGCACTGTTTAAGCAAAGCAAGAATAATCGTTTAAGAACAAATGGCCTAGGCTTCAACACAGGTTTGAAGATGGTGGGGCAAAGGAAAGATAAAATACCTATGAAAAGAATTTGCAGAAGGCTTTTATTTTGCAACAAAGTTTGGCCCTATCTATGATGCAAGTTAGGAGTGAATGGGGTACAGCTTTTCCTTCCTCATAAATTCAGCTTCAAACTAAATATGACTTCCTTCCATTATTCCTAAAATCCTAATTTTCAGCCTTTTCTAAAATTCCATATCTACTCGCCTCCTCATTACCTCAGATATTTTCTGTCATGTTCCCTCAATTCATAGTTCCTCCTCTCATTTAATTGTTCATATCTCGCTCGTTCCCTCACTGACTCATTCTAACCCTGTTTCACCCAAACTATTTCTCCCTCATTCCCTCTGTCCCTTATCTCGCCTTCTGTCTTCCATATAATCCGTCTTCCTTTTTCTCTGTTTTCCCCTCCCTCCAGCTTCCTCTCTTTCCAGCATCACTCCCACCCGCTTCCCTCTCTCCATCTTCCCGTCTCTCCATCACCCTATCCTATGTATAGCAACGAGACGGTGGCAATTGAAGAAAACGAGATCGTGTAACTGTGTCAACATTAAATCTTTACTTAAATATAAGTTTTCTAAGCACCGGCAAACCAGAGCACGTGGTACGAATACCACCGATTCAATTACTAACACTTAAAGGACGTATTCACACGGTCACGTGATACTTTTGCTAAATTGCGTCCACAGCCCCCTTTAAATGAAATTTTTGTCGTCGGAAAACTTTGAAATATTTAGTTTTGACCGAATTTGTTCACCGAATTTGTCAATAAAATGACAGGGTAGAAAAGGTGGCAAAAATCCCTTAATGCGTTTACATGGGTTCTCAACACTATAAAGGATTTTCTACTATAGAAAATTGGTTCTGCATTGTAAACCTAGCATATTGCAATTATAACTAGCTTTGGGCATTTTGTAAATCATTTCGGCAAGCGTGTATGCCAAGAGGCATTCATCTATTCACTCGTCATCAAACATTGGAAGCATGATTCACTGGTAACGTGTGGTGCATTGTGTTCAGATCAAAAAGTTTTACTGTTATGTTTGCATTTAGAAAGCTTGCGTTCTTAGATATCTGGCGCTTGGGATAATATTTAAGGAAATCTTGCGTCTAAGGTTTACAATGGCATTGTTTTGGGTAAATGATTACGCAACTTCATAACTGTATTCTTTGAAGGAAATCTTGAAACTGAACCTTTTATTGAAGTTCCATCGAGAAATTTTAAGTTTACGGATCTAGATTCAGTATTAGAGATCTTTTGACGATGTATTGATAGCTTTGTTCCTCAATACCAAAGAAGATTAATTTTTTTTCATCTTTGAACTGCAAAGCGCTTTAACTTTAAATTGTGAACAACTCTGCATGTTAATTGGGTTTAAAAGCTTACCTTCTAATCTATGCCATACCCTTTAGAATGGTACAACATTACTTAACTCATGAAAACGATAACCAAGGAAATATTAACTATTTAAAACTGTATCTATTACCTTTGCTTTGAAGTGTCATCGTCTGGATACTGAAAAGTTCCAGGCTCGTACTCTTGTGAAGGTGAAACGATTTGCTCTCCACTCTGATTTGAAGAACTTATGAGACTTTCAGAAGGCGACGGTGTTGAGCCAACACTTCTAGAACTTCCAACTTGGCTATTCGACTCCTGCATTTCTAGCCGACTTGAAGGTGATGGCAATATATTATTATCCTTTGAGCATATTCTTTGTGCTTCGCTGTTGTTTGCAGATTGACTTTCTTCAGTCATCTGGGAAGCTGTCTCCTCTTCTTCATTACCCTCATCCTTCTGTTCTTTTTCAGCCGGATCTTTGCCATCTGCTTCGGTTTCTTGAACCTCGTCGTTTCGTGATCCATCCTTGTCATCTGAAGACTGCGCTCGGACTTGGTCGGGTTGATCAAGACTGTTTGGAACCTTAGTTGGTGTCCACTCTTTGGAAACCTTCTCTCTATCCGGTTCAGCTGAGGCACTGTTTCCAGGTTGGGACGGGCCTTTTCCATACATTGATTTGTTGTATTCTTCTATTGGTATCGTATATAGGTCCGGTGGATAATGGGCGGGTACGGTATATGCAGATGAACAACAGACTTTCCCGCTAGCCTGCGTTGTCTGTATATTTGAATATCTTGAATATGGGTGAGGATAAGACATATTATAGGGCGGTGTGTACAGATTTGAATGAACATATGAGCCATAAGGACTCGGAAGCTCTCCTGAACCTCGGAACGGTGAAGGGTGTTTTTTAGAGAAAGACCATGGCTCTCTAGAGTCTCGTTCGTAATTCTTTATTCCTACTCTATCCCTATAATGGTTCTCAGCCTCTACATCATTCCCATGGTTTGGTATCGGCCTGTCCGTATTTCTAGGAAGAAAACCGGGCACTCCAAGGTGCGGATACATTGTTGGACTATCAAATGCGTAGCTTGGAATCCTTTCAAGGTATGGCATATTTCGACTGGTTGTCTGAGAATCATCGGACTCTTTTTGTTTCAGTGGAGAAATAGGTTCTCTTCCAAAACTTTTGCTTCCAGACCGGGTATCAGTTATATCACTTTCGTTACCAAAACGTCTATCTGAGTTCGGTTCAACAACTATTATCGGGTTTTCACTATCTACAACTCTCAAATCGTCATGTGGGACAACTGAGTTTTCAAACTCAGCCATGTTAAGTTTGCGGGCCATTCCTTTTCGATCATGTTTTCTAAAGAGATAAAATGTTATTAGCGACTGCATTGATACAAAAAGGGCAAACAAGTGAAAAGAGACTTCTTAAGAAATCTTATTAAATACTTTATGGTTTATTTATCGGCCTTTTGATACTGAAAAACAAACATTTATAGAATCTATGGCACATAGTGCAATGATAAACAGCAAAAAGTAAAGTTTACTGAGTATTCATTAAACGAAAAACAATCATGGCATGGAAAGGCAAAATTGAATTTAAGAATAAAAATGGTTTCTTAATAAGTCAACCAATACGCCATACTGTTTCCAAAGAACTGACACAAGCTACCTTTTTTAATTAAACCCATGTCTTACAAGAAAATTAAAAAGACGACAGAAGATTCTGATTGGACCATGTAAATAAAACACGAAATTAACTTACTTTTTGTGGTAATCCTGCATTAGATCATTCTCGATCTGAAAATAAGTAAATATGTTAAATTAAAGGCAATCTGTCTCGTTGTTGATTGGTTAACGAGAACAATAGCTAGAACAATAGCCTAAACACGATTCCAGCGCTCCGCCATATTTTTTACAATGCGATAAATTAAAGGGGGACTGGAAACAATAAAAATCCCTTTGTTCTTATAATCAATCAACGTCGCTGAAAACATTGCCTAGATTGCCTTTAATTAAGCTGCTTAAAACATTGATTTTGCTGCTGAGAAATTTTTACAGATTCGTACTCAAGGGTCTAAAACTGAAAAATATTTAACAAAATATGACTTCAGACTAAACATCTACTCGAAAAACAAAAAAAACTTTTCTTGAAACACAGCTACATCAATTTACCTTTACTCCAAGAATTTTAACCTTTGCTAGCAAAAATATACTAAAAATAACTTCGCAACGCAACTCCATTTTATGCTGTCAATAGGACAGTGTATGAGCTCTTGGCACTTATACTTGGCACTTGGTATTTTAAGCTGGGTAAATAAATAGCAGAAGGGACTGTTGTGAAATCATGCATTTTTGATCATGCTGGTTTTCATTTTAATTGAAGTTCTTCTTGAAATTATGTTTTACAAATTTTCCTGAGAGTTTCAAAAGCAATAATGCAGCTCATTCTTGACCCAAAATTTTTATTTGTTGCTACTTAGATATTTCTTTGTTAATTGCTAGGTCTAGTTAACTTCATCTTTTCCTCTCAATACAATTTGCCTACTTTTTATAAATCCTACATTGGCCTATACAATGTCTACTGCTAATACGTTCTTCCATTCATGGTCATTCGTGAATATTCTTTCATTTCCTTCAGTTCAAATCTTTTACGATCCGATATCTTTTCTATACCCTTTCTTTTAGCAGATTCGCAAGCATTCGTATGCAATAATGCTCAACTACATTAAATCGTAAGATGTTTTTCTTTTACCTTTGATTCCTTGTTTGATATTCCTCTTTCTTTCTCTTCATTTTCAGCTTCCATTTCATCGTTATTCCATTGGTGATTTTTACCAGCTGGACCTGTTCGACAAGGCCTTTCGATTTTGTGACTGATGTAAAGGGTAAGATTAGTAAACATCTCTTTACAATACCCACATTGATGAAGGTCCGAGTCTCCATCTTCACCCTCGTCTGCAAAGATAAAACATTCCTGCATTAAAAAGCAGATAATTTGGAATTTTCCACATCTACTATCAAAATCTCGTCTTCCGCTCTGACTGATCTGTTCTAAAATGTCCAATTTCAGAGGTTGGATCCATTCACAATTTTCATCAAACCGACCGGAATGCATATTTTGGCCGAATATGCAGTTATTGATGCAACATTGACTTAGTGGCTTGCGCAATCTAACAACGATACAATATAACTTGCTAAAAACACAGGTACCCAAAAACATGATCCAAAATTTGGTTCTTGAATGAATAAAGGAAAATCAGAATGTGGATATTTTAATTAGCTTAGTAGAATTGGGCTACCAGTATCATTCAGAATGAATATTTTTGCAAATGTACTTATATTATTTATCAATGCTCTGAATATAGCTGAAGATCAAAGCCACTTCTGGGCAAATTGAGATACGTATACCTTAAGAATGTTCTATTGAAGTGCTATATTCAATTTCAGCACTGCATTTAATTAGGGGCGCTTAATCAGAGGGAGCACTTATTCGAGGATTGCACTTGATCAAGGCGGCCTCAATCAAGGACGAACTCCAACCATGAATTGCACTCGACAGGAACTGTGGAAGAGTGGAGGCAATAATTTTCAAATATCTAGCTAAAAAATATAAAAAACAATATTCTGCCTCGTGCATGTTTAGCCCCTCCTCCCAAAAATCTCTATAGCACAGCCCACCCCCCCCCCCCCCCCCCCCCAAATCCACAATTTGCTGTGTGGTCTCTGGCGCTATATCGACCATGTTAGTAACAGCAGAGTCATTTTTACCTATGCATAGGTAACACATGCTTTTATGTTTTAAATGTTTTCTTTTTGGATATTATTGGCTTATTAAATGCCTCTTCTTTTCACATTTTGCAAGACAGTGGGAGATTAAGATCATTCTTTGTGCCGCTTGTAGAAGGGTTTGAATTAGTGTAAAAGATTTGAGAGTGGTTATAATATCAAGAAAGTAATTTTGAAAGCAAAGTTTCAAAAGTGTAAGCGAGTATAAATGAGTCTTCTCAATACAAATTGATAGATTTAAATGATAAAAAACTTTTGAAACTTTAAGATGCAAATAGTATTGCAGCTTTAGTTTACTGCTAATGCCATTTAGAAAAACAAGTTTAATTGGCAGCTAGTCCACTTCGAACCAATTTTCTCAATTCAAAATAAATGCATTTATAAATGGCCTTGAGTTGCAGCTGCTAACCAAAGGCATCGATTAGTTCAACGTTTTCTGATGCACATTTACATATATCAATTTCTGAACATTTTAAGCAAATTTGAAGGTAGGTAGTAACAAAAGGTAACAGCAGCGGGATGCAAGCTTTGTTAGCAAAAGGCTCGCGCAATTGTGATAACAAAAGACCATGTGCTTGGCAGTAGCGAAGCAACACAAGTAAGCGTTGAACAGAGAATAGTGCATGCTTGACTGAAAAGAAAAATACTAACTGGTTGTGATGGCGAGGAACCCATTCAAAAATAAGGCTTATCAGAAATAAGTGGTCATTATATTGTTGGTGCTTATGAAATATTACCACTAGCCATTTGGTAGTATAAAAACATATTCATATGCACATTAGCTGTGGCTTTTCATTGTAAGCCATTTCAAAACATTACAAGGTGAATCACATACTTGCTGTATTTATGAAGGGTTTGTCGGTTGCCAATCACATAACGGATTTCTGCTTACCGAAGTTGGGTTTCAGTCAGGGAATTGGAGGGGGTGGGGTGGGCGTTGGTGGTTGGGGGAGACTGAGAATTGAAGGAAACTAGCCATTTTCTTGCTTGGAGCCAGTGTCAGTCAGGGAAGGGCCCGGGGAGGGAATAGCCAACAGGGGTTTTAGGGGCTGAAGCCCTCATTTCAGTGCATATCAGAACAACGTATGAAGAACCTTTTATTATTGAAGCAAATAAGCTTTGATATAGGGGCCAAGAATTTACGACCATGCGTTGCACTAGGTGAGGGGGAGGGGATGCGCCGAATTAAATTTTTTTTCTTAGACTAAGTGATAGCGGGAAGAAAAATGTATTTTAGATTATCCCATGCATTTAGCAATGCCTCCTGAAGACACAACAGAATGTCTTAGAATAACGAGAACGACAATGGCAATGCTTTGAGGAGGACGATGAGAGACTGGAGGTTGCAGAGAAAGATGGGGATGTCCTAATCCTTATCATTTTTTATACAGAATCTCTTGTGAAAAAGACGAAAATATGGTTCAACAAACTCACTTGTTTGCTGGACGAAATTGATGTTTGGTGCATTTAACTTTATTGCAAAAAGCTAGGGTAATCAACTCCTTCGACGGAAAGTTTGTAGGGCACCCACCAGGGTTACTCTCATTTGGATGTACCTTCTTCCATTTGAAATACATTTTTTAGTCAATATTGCAGAGATCATTATTTACTCTAGGAGATGTGCAGAACAGACATTCTGGGGGAAAGCAAAATACTTATAATGTTTGGCAAGGCCTGGAGAAGCTGTCAGAGGGTTTATGTACTAATAAAGCGAGAGCAAAAAGTCTTTCTATACTTCGCCAGATGAAAAACTCTTCAAGAAGCTCAACTACACGAAGACAAGCCGAAAAAGTGCGTCTAACAAGGGCTGCATTGTACAAGGATCATAGCTTCAAATTTTATGAGACTTAGCTATCATAGCTATCAAAAAGTTTTCAACAATTTGCTAATTGAAAGATATTAAAAAGTCTTGCAATTAAAGCAAAATTATCAGGCATCGGATATCAAAGTGCATCGTTAGTAAAAATAATCAATAGGGGATGAGGCACTGTTGGTTTTATTTCTCTATTGTAAACAGTAATGCGTCGATAAGGAATTGTTATATTTTCACAGCTGTGAGAACTTAAAAAAGATTACCTAAAAATCCTATATATTTGATCCCTTCACCATCAGATTTCGCCCTTTTTAATTTTTAGGGCTACATAGATGCATTTGAAAACAATTCCTTTTTTGTTTTGGCAATCTAAATAATGCCTCTTGCTTGGTGCGGTGAAAGTAACTTTCATTGGAATATTGCATCTACAGTCAAGATTGTTCCTACTGAAATTGGAGACTAAAATGTCCAGAAATTGAAAATGCAAGCATTACCCATGATGCTTCACGCACGAATGATGACGTAGTCAGTTTCTAGTTCACACCTGCTCTCCATACGAAAAGCTTTTTTAAGGCCGCCATTCTCCAAACCTGCATTCTGAATCAACCACAGTAAATTGCAACGCAAGAGTTCATTGTTTATCCTGATTACCTTTTGGGAAGCGTACTTAAGAACCAAAATATCTGATGGGAAAAATAACTTTCCCGCACTCTTTATTAAAAATAACTTTGTTAAAATTAACTTTGATGCATCGAAAAAAGTATCAAAGAATTAAAATTTATGAGTATCAAAATCATTCAATTAAAATCTCATAAACCTTTTGTGGAAATCCCATCTGTTTAACTGAAAGTTCCTGAAAATCTTTTTATTTTCATGAAAATCTCGTACACTATTGGCAGGTGTGAATTGCCTCTCGCTGTGGCTGAAGGAAATGCCAACATCTAGGCTACTATTAATACCCATTAAGAACTCTGTTACGAAAATTTTGATTCATTGACAAATAATTGGAGGTACAAAAACCCTTTTTCGCTTTCTATTAGCTTTTGAAGTCAAATATGGTTTTTAAAATATTTCAAAATTTTCTGTGCAGGGATTTACAGAAAGGACTTCAGGCCTATTTGCATAAAACCTGTGACAAATCTATAAATAGGTGTTGTTAAAACTGCTAAAATCAAAACAATTTTTGTGCATCGCCCGCAACGTAGGGAGCCACAGGCAAATCACTTGATTCTTGAAAATCATTACAAGCTTTGGCAAATCATAAACAAGGAGGTTGTTTGGCTGCCATCAAACATGCACATGGGATACCCGAAGCCCCGCTCAAAGAAACCGTCAGTTTTAACGAACAGCATTCAACAATGATGTTCTGAGAAAGTTGAATTTGTTTCGCTACCATGTTCAGTGACTGCGGTATTTTTCGATAAAATTCGACGTTGTTTAGAAGGGTCCAAAAGCTTTACCGAAGTCTTCAAAATTGGGAAATGTTGTTTGCGTTTGACCAGCTTGCCAAACATTTAATCGAGAAATCTTATTAATATTACACTTACGCGTGGGTATTGTGAAGCTTTTGCGCAACAAAAAGTCATGCGATCCATTAATATTCTTGTTATGTTGTTATTGATGAAATGTTTGATGCGTTAGGCCAAAGCCATAAGTTTGACATGTTGAGCATTGGTCAGAACTAAAACTATATAATATGAATGACTACATTGAGATAACTTTCGAAATACCTAACAAAAAACAAATAACAAGAGAAAGCGATATTGTGCACAACTGAAGTTCATACTGTGTTGATTCTGCAGTATTTAGATGCCATAGCATGTCAAGAGACAATTCTTTCCCAAGAATTGGGGTATACAAGCCGCCATCTTGCTTCTTCGGTGGGCAAATATTGACTGTCCAGGTCAACGAAATTGCAAACAGACAAAAAAAACCTATGCGTTACAATGTATTAAGAATTGGTATTTAGTTAGGGGAAGGCAGGGTTACCCAGGGTGTAGTTCTCAGACATGATCTTAATAGTTTGGGTTCAAACTTTGATTGAAAAGTTTTGACTGCATTAGACAGACAGACTTTAAGTTATAGGACATTTCTTGAAGACAAGATAAGAAAAAGAAGAACCTTTAGCAATGGTGTTCCACATTAAAGGACAATTGAAGTTATTCAGATTTTAAAAAAAGGAAAAGATTTCAAAATTATTTTAATAACCGAAAATGGGTTTAGTAAATGCAGATTTTTCACAAATTAACTCATTATGATTATATTATATTTTGTAACTTTTTGCATCAATGAGGTAACAAATTTTCAAGTATTTTTATTTTCAAGTTGATATTAGGCTACGATTTTATATATAGAGTTGGCATAATAAAAATCCATTTTTTAACATTGTGGATCCTCGAATTGAAAGAAATAAACAGTGACAATAAAGGGTTAAAAATAAAATTTATCCATAACATAAGACTTTTTGGGCTATACATATTGCGATGAAGATAGAAAATAAGAACTTTCGAGGTCACGAAAAAGCTTTAGGATAATGCGGCCTTTGTTTTCTTAAAGATTGATCAAAAATTGTCAATCGAGATAAGCTCATTCTGAGAATTTATAGAATGTTCTAACTTATCACGTAACGATCAGGTGAGTGGCATTTTTTGACCATTCAGTAATTAACAGTTCAACAACCAAAAACAAATTACGACATATCGATGATTTTTACCGCAATTTTTGCCATTATTTTGCAGAATACGCACATACTTCAGTAATTCAAAAACCTTAATTAGTCTTAACATATAAATTTTTTATTGTCTGCTTAGCTCTAGATGCGTGCAAATTCTTAAACTGATTTGCTGTTAAGACCATTATTGCACTATAGCAGTGTATTATGGACAGTATAATATGTTTTTTCTTTGTATGTGACCTACAAGCAAGCGAAGCATTAGGCAGAAAAATGATATGTCATTTGCCAGAAGTACGTTGAAGCACCATGACGACATAAGGAGAAGAGTAAAATGTCATGTGTGTGAAGTAGGTCAAATGAAATTAATGTTATTGCTGCTCGGTTTGAAGTTGTTTTAGTGAAACCAAACTTAATTCTCTCCAAAAAAATCCAGAATAGAGCTGCAAGAGTAACTACAAATAGTTCTTTCGATGCTCTTGCTGTCCCACTGCTCCAATATATTGGATGGCCCTCAATTAAAGATCTTATCAAAAAAAAGCAACGCTGACCTATAAGGCATTGAACTCTCTTGCTCCTCGATATTTAGGAGAATTTTTCAGCAAATGCTCAGAAGGCAGTGTTCGCAATCTTCGCTCTACCGAAAAAAACTTGCAGATACCTCTTTTAAGAACATGCACAGGCCAAAAAGCATTTTCTTATCGTGGAGCAAAATTATGGTATAAGCTGAATAAGGAAACTAAATTGGCACCGTCCCCTGCTACCTTTAAAAAATCAATATGAGAGGTACATTTTATTTTTATGCTATTTTGATTTTAACTTATTGTACATTATAATTCTCTTTAATTTAGGCTTTTCTGTTTTTGCACAGGTCGATTTGCAAAACAATCTTTTGGTGGTACAAAACTTGAAAATGGCTTTGAAAAAAGCAAACATTTGAGTAAACTTAAGCTTTTTATCTGACACTTTCCAGAGTTTAAAACGTCAGAACATAGATTGAAAACTCTACGCTAGGAAATATATATACCCAGTTCTGCTTAAACGGCTTCAAGCACTTTCTGGCAGACCGGTAAATTTAATTTTTTACTTATTTACTAATTTAAATACAAGATGAATTCATAAGAATTACTTGTAACAGAAATGTTTTTTATATTATCATGTAATTTTTTTCAAAACGCCAATTTTTATAGAAAATTTGAAACTATCTATTTTTGAAAGATGCAGAGCTACGAAATTTTATGCTTTTCTAAACAACAAAATATTTTGGACTTCCCAAAATTTGTTCACAACGAGCTTTAGAATCTAATTTTACTTCAAAAATGAATCCTTTGATAAAAAAAGTCATATCAAAAGATAGTTAGCAAATGTGTCCAGTCTCAAACAAAAAACTTTAAGAATCTTTTCTAGAACAATTTTAATTTTCTAAAAATTAATCTACATACCTGATGACAACGACAAACAAGCATTATTCTTTTCAGAAATCTGAAAAAAGAAAGATACAATGAATCATCAAAAATAAAAGGACAAAAATGAGAAAACTGAAACTTGAAAGAAAAAAGTTTTGATGCCAACTATTGACATCAAAATGAAAATCAATTTTTATTAGTTTCAAGCCTATCATCTCAGTCTTTTCGCACTTAAAGATTCCATACTCTTACATTCCATTCTCAGAACTATAGCATCAAATTGTTTCTTTTTCTTTTTGTTTATCTTTTCTTTCGAAAAAAATTATCTCTTGGTTTCTACATTTCAGAGTCATCTAATATGATATCGACATAGTCGTACCAATAGTTTTAAAATGAGGTTTGATAACAGTAAGAGGTGAAGCAAGCCAACTGGAAATTTGATCAAATACAGGGGAAGAAACATTCCACATTGCATTGTAAGCTTCAAGCTATTTGAATATCATTGATTGGACTAATAAAAAGGAAAGAGCTTTATCATATCATTGAAATTAGAGAATCCGATGAGATACAACAACATCTAGACTCTAAAGCAGTCCCAGTTGGGTCTGAATGCATTCATCAAAAGTTCATCTTCTTAAGCTCCAACTACAATTTCCCATATGCAGGGCGACCCAGGATCCTAATTCGTGACTCTGTGGTTTTTGGGATATAAAATGATCGGCTACTACAAAGATTGTGTTTAAAATGAATGAAGGTATTCCACGACTTAGTTGAAAATCCATTCAACAAGGCTGCATTTTTTCATAACACCGCGAAATTGGTGCTCAGATTTAATCATTCTATTCTCAGCCTTAATCCCGTCACGAAAAGCATCAGAGGCAAATGCAGCCTTCTATTTTACACAGTAAATAACTGCATTATTGTATCCGCTTTTTCCTCCATATCAAACAATGCTTTTGCATTGCCACATCGTGCTTAGAGTTACCACAAAAATGCCTTTCCAAAGCTTATATTGTCCACGCAGTTACAGTAAGCAGATGCTAGAAAAAGGAGGAAAAGCATCGTCCAATTTAGCAATACTTTGGTACCGAATGTTACATTTTGATTACATATCCAGACTTTTCATACCTCTCAATCGATAAGTCTCAGTTTAAACACCACGGACTTGCCTATTCTAAACATATCTTTTAATCCGTAACCCAGAACGGAATAGTGTAATACAGTATTTTAAATAACATTGCAAGTTAAGGAACCTACAAACACTAATACCAATTATGAGCTCGAGAGACTCAATGATGAGAACGGTCGGGGAACATGAACAAGTGATGGGCCACTGTAAATCTAGTACAATGGTAGCGGCCTAGGTCAGTGTAAATAGAAACAGCGCATTGCAGATAGGCCAAACAACGCAGATGTACAGTGTCATTGCCTTTGTTCCTACGTAGACTTATTTGGTAACACAAAGAAAACAGGTCTGCTTTCGGAGAAAGTTTACACTCACGCCAACTAGCGTGAGCAACGTGTCGCTACGAGGAATCCCTTAAACTCTCAAGCATTCAGGGGGTCGCCTTGAGTCTTTTTGTGAGAATCGAAAAATTAGATGCTCACATAGTCTTTGAAAGGTAACGGTCCTTTGAGAAGAAGCATTGAAACTTAACTTTTTTAGAAGATACTATCCGTTTGAAACCCATTGCTTATTTCTACATGGTTTTATAGCAACTCAGAATAAAAACTGATGTGTTGAAATGCAAATATCCGTACATTTTTCTTTACAAGAGCGCTCCTGCTTCTTAGCTTTTAAGACATCTTTAAGAAATGTCAAGAAGCCTTTGACAAACAATTGTATTTTTACAACAGATATAACCATTATTCTGTTCGCTTAATAGTTACAAAATAAAATCAATTTGTACCAAGGATTTCGAAATTGCATGTTTCTTAATTTAAAATTTTGTGGATCTTGCTTGATAAACTCTAGATCGCAAACCTGAAAACAAGCCTGAAGTAATTGATGCATACATTTAAAAAAGACTCTGTAGAATTTATGGGAATTTTAAAACGGATAGAATTATCAGAAAGAACATATCTGGTCATATTTTTTGGCACAACAATGATACACTCGCACTTTATTAGCTTTCGTTCAAGAATTCCCCAAAAAGCGAATGTTACATTCTCCTGGTTACTGGATGTCAATCATGTTCTCGAAAGCTTACTAGGAAATCATGTTGACTGCCAGTTTCAAATCAAATAAAAAGTTTAGCTGAGGTCTAATTAGATGTGGATTAGGTGCCCTCTCTATGGAAATTATTCGTTAACTTCTCTGTAATCTATTGCTTTTTGTTCCCTTTTTTGCAATATACTGATTTTCGTTTATTTTATTTGCTTCTTGGGTAACCTGAAATTCAAGGCCACACCTTTTTTTCAATCAGATGTTTGGAAACCAGAATCCGTTAAACGTTCCATAGTAGTAGAAAAATACCACTCCTTTCTTAAGCATCACATTTTTTGGCCTAAGTAGATAAAATTACTTGTTTGTAACATTGGAAAATTGTCAACCCCCCTTTTCTGAATTTACGAGGACCTTAATCAATTACATTAACATTTCAAATTACAATGATAGAACAAAAGTAGGAGTTTATCCTTATGTTATCGGTAGACTTGAAGCTGCACCTTGTTGATATATTTTCAAAATGTAAAGCCAGAGTATTGCGTGATCCTTTCAAATTAGCTAATGTTATTTACAAGAAACAATGTGTCGCTGCAAGCAACGTTTAAACAAAAAATCAGGCAATGGAGAAACGTTTAAGACATAACACAAACCAACACAGTTAGGCGTAAATGAAAGCCATTAAAAGTAAACTATATATGACAAAAATGAAAGGAAATTTGGTTTGTCTTAACTTGTTAATAAAATTTGTTTACTTCCCGATGAAACTCAGTTAACTCGCATGCACCTTGCAAATATTAAAATCACCTTTTTGATGTTTATGCTTTGAAACAAACAACGCATTTGATAGGTTAAAAGGTGCTCTATACTGCCCTGAAACCATGGAGATATAAGATGGTAAATCTTATATAACATCACTTTTTTATGAGTATGTCGCAAAACGTGTACACAAAATGCGTTTGCAAAGGATATCTAGCTTTTAGACAACAGACTACAATCTGACCATTAAAAATCACAAAGAGAAGCAAAACTTTTTAAGGCACAAAAAACAATTATTTGAATCGACTTTTCGAGATGAAACTTATAAAAATGATAAAACATTAACTCAATTTGTAATTTTAGAAGTAATCCTTGGGCCAGTATAAAATCTTTAATGTGCAATTTCAAATTTGCAGTTTAGAAAAAAAAGTCTTATAAATGCAGCGGACATTACCATGCACAGCTCCATGGTTCAAAATATTGGAAGATAAAAATATAGTTATCTTCTTCTTTCATTTTATACATATTACAAACTGTGATTGTATGATCATTCGCATTGAACTGCATAGAATAATTAAGAGAGTACACTATAATTGTGACATTTTCGGGTCTAACAAGGATCAATTCTGAGCACAATTCTATTGATAGCCTTCTTGGCATCTTCGTTACTCAGTCCCTACTGTAACAGCAAATGTCTGGTCCAATATTTCATTGTTTATGCTATCAAATCATTGATTGCCAACTTTTAATGTAGCTCTATTTATTTAGATATTAAAAAGCAAAACGAATGTAGTTGTTTTGGCACTATCTAACAGTAGAGAATACATCTCAAACCATTTCGAAACTCTCTTTACAATAGATTAGAAATCTATGGACTGCAATGATCAGAGCAGTGGAGTTGCTAGCCAAAATATCCAAAACTGGGAATTTTTAAGAGGAAAGTTGCAGAAATGGTTCGGGATGAGAAACAGCGGTGAGTATGCATGGAAAAAGTTTTAGATAAAACCATTAGGTGTATAATAAAGAGCCTGAGCTGCTGTCGTTTGAAGGTGAAAGATAGGAAAAAATGAAGGGTATTGAAACAAACATACAATGACATTTAAATTTATATTTGCAAGCTGAATTAACCATAGAGAGGAGAGGAGGTAAAGAAGTTCAGGTCTCTTCACATTTTTGAATCGCTAGTTGGTGTTGACGATCGTCCTGAAATGGCATCATGGCAGAGAATAGTCGAGGAGTACCACAGTCAAAGATTCTGTCCACCTTTTTAGTTTCTAGACAGCCTGTTATTAAGACTTCGCGTTGCATTTGCAAATAATGTGTGATCTAAATTGAAATTTACAGTTAAAAACACTGCGTAAGAGTCTTTGAAGACATATATAAAAGTATAGTTGAAAACGGCTAACAATTTCAGTCAGTGATTCATCTTGTATAAGGTGGACAAAATTGGCCGCATGAAGAACAGACTGTTGCTGTTCTAGCAGCCCTTGGTCTGCTCAAAATATATTACGTCACTTTGCTGATTTACCCTAGTGAAGCTTAATGACGATGGATGATGAGCATAGTGATGAAGAAACCCCCGGAAAAGGTCGAGTTAGTGGCAAATCTCGTGCCTTGGTGTTCTTGATGATGGAAGATCAAGCATCGCATGCTTTTGTTCAAGACGTATTCATAATTGATGACCGCAAAGCCAAGAGCTTATCAGAGAAGAAACCTACGTAAAATTATTGGTTGACCTTACGACCTAGGTGAATAACAGCAAAAGTGAATCACGAAATCGGGAAACGGCTTGGCGAGGCCTTTAAGGCATATGCCTAAAAATCAAGGCACCTTGCATTAGGTGGCAATGGTATTCATTGGCTTACAGGTACCACCTGATGCTTACAAACAATTAATTAGACAAAGTACATTTTTTGAAAAAGGGATTCTCTCTTGGATTTCTCACGCCTCAGGGAGAACAGAATCCTTCAATGTTGAATATAATATTAGGAAGACCAATTCATCGTCAACTATCGTTAGGACCTTTCGAGGACTTGATTAGAAATTCTAAGGTCCGATACTTGAATTAATGCACTTTAAATAAAAACTGTCCATTTTTTGATGACAATAGAACGTAAAATAGTAAAGGTAATTGCGGAGAGCAACCGAAAATC